AGACAACAAGAGGCTAACTGTGCGCTCACAATGACCACTGTCTCTCAGCACAGTCTCTCATTAAAAAGCCCACATTTCAAAGGTAGCTGTTTGTCACCTGATGGTGGCTATTTGATTTTGATAGTGAGGCTTTATTACAGGCCACTTAGTGAAATTCTCTTTTGAATAAAACCACACAGGCTCCAACCGGACTTAATAAGAACTTTAAGCTCGACACCAAAAGGGTGGAAATATATGATGTCCTTTGAAGGCTAAACTGCAGTAAATAGCAACACAATTTGGTCTTTTAATCACACAAATCCATTCACTGGGTTTATAATGTACAACAAACTGTGCACTTTGAGCTAAAAGAGTTTGCTTTTATGCTATTTCAAAAGTATGTTGAAGATTATTTCAAAAAACTTTGTTGGTGAGATTCTTTAAAATATTTACATCTAACTGTAACTGGATCATTTTAAGTATATTGACTTCACTACATTTTCCTCTAGTTTAGATACTGTTAATTTAAGTGTTTTGTGATCACAAATATAAATCTAAAAAGAGTCTGTAAAACGACAGTGGTCTCACCTCTTCTCCCCCTTGGGATTAACATTAAGGTGGTATAGTCCCAAGCATCTATACCTGTGGTACTATTGTTTTAGCGGTTTTCCTAAACTAAAGAGGTATGCTATACCTGTTCCACATTGTTACAGAGAACTTAGCACTGGTCATAAATAATACACACACAAAAATACATATTTAAGTTTCATTCGTCTTCTTCTTTAATAATAATGATCATAATAATTCCTTATATTTATGTAGCGCTTTTCTGGACACTCAAAGCACTTTACACAATGTGGGGGAATCTCCTCATCCACCACCAGTGTGCAGCATCCACCTGGATGACGCGACGGCAGCCATTTTGCGCCAGACCGCACACCACATACCAACTGATTGGTGAAGAGGAGACAGAGTGATGAAGCTAATTGGAATATGGGGATGGTTAGGAGGCCATGATGGACAGAGGCCAGATTCTTTGGCTCTCGGTGAAGGCGGTCACACTTTTTTCTTCTCCCTGGCTGGCTCTTCTTGTCTCGTCTCATTCTATCTCTGAGGCTCTCCTTGCTCTGCTCTTCAAACAAATAAGAAATTATGGATTTGATCAACGGGTCTCTGAAGGCAATTGACACCATGGTCTCAATGAGAAGTTTGGGTTCGGGGGAACCCACCTTCTAATTGATAAACCAATAGAAGATTAAAAAAATAGATAAAGAGAAAGTTTTTGTTGGACATCAGGAGCTATTTATGATTAATAAATAATTTAAAATAATATATATTTTTTAAATAAATAAAAAAATAATGAATAAATAAATAATTAAATAAATAAATAATAATAATAATTAAAATTTAAAATAAAAAACTAAATAAAATAAAATCAAATTAAAAATAAATAAAAACAACTAACTCTGATCATTTTAAGTGCAAAAAATATATATAAAAATAATAAATAGATAAACAAATAAAAATAATAATAAAATTGAATAAAAAAATTAATTAAATATAAAGTTAAATGAAAATTTAAATAAATAAAATTAATTATTAAAAAAACATTTAATTAAAAATAAATAAAAACAACTAACTCTGATGACTTGAAGTCCAAAATAAAATAAATTAAAATACAATAAATAAAAAAATAAAACAAAACGAAACGAAACAAAACAAAACAAAACAAAACAAAATAAAATAAAACAAAACAAAACAAAACAAAACAAAATAAAATAAAATAAAATAAAATAAAATAAAATTAAATTAAATTAAATAGAAACTAAACTAAACTAAACTAAACTAAACTAAACTAAATAAAATAAAACAAAATAAACATATAAAAAATAGTGCTGCTTTTATTCCAGTTTGTAAGTTGTTTTGGATAAAAACATCTTCTAAATGAGTAAATGTAAATGCTAAAGAAGGAAAGCAAAAGGCACATGCTTATTTTTGCAGAATGACCCTCATTAGTATCATTTCCATGTGTGAATAAGTAAATACAAGTAGACTATGTCAGCAAACAGGCACAGTATTGTCAAAGGGTGCATGTTGTTGGTTAACACATGTTTGTTTCATGAGTTGTTCAGTTTAAACTAAAAGCAGGAGCATTGTATGGGGTGAACCCCTGTCCTGCGGGGACATTTGCAGCTGGATATATTGGAAAAACTGTTAAATTGAAACGGTGGTGAGCAGGGTTGTTGGTACTCCGACTGTGGCATTAGACTGCAAATTGCAAAACAACTGAAGAGTGTACATTTTACAAAGTAGTAAACCACTGTAATCACAGTACTTTTACTATGCATTACCCCAACTTTGAAGACAAATATAGACCTATAAACAAGCACAAAAAGTCGCAGCATTACACACTACAAGAAAGATAATATCTAAAAAAGAATAATAGGGGCAATTTAACAGCCAAGATTGCCACTCTAGATATTTCTCCAATCATCAAACTACAGTTTTCAAATTCTCAGCTTGTTGTATCCACCAAACAGCAACACATAAAACCCAACCAAAATAGAATTTCGCAATTACAGAAAAATGCACATGAACTTATATGGTGCATGCTGATGGAGTGAAACAGAGTTCAGCAGAACATGGCTTGACCTCGAGCGCAGAGCTGTTTGCAGATCAGGTCATGAGAGAAAAGACAGAGGGTCAGTCCAGGACAAGTGCAAACAACATCACATGGACCAGCATAAATTCTGCGATGCTCAGACCTCCATGAACACGGATTTAAGTCAACATGACATTTATAACCCATTTCACTTTCGTAATTTGACATAATTCACATGTAAAACTGTGAGAAACATAATAGGTAAGGCCATGGTTTTATCACAGGATTAAAATGCATTATTTAAAATCTTAAAATAACAACTTTATCTTCAAAGTAACCAAGGCCTGATGTGTATGAAATGTCTTGTTGAAAAACTAAACAAGATCATTCCACAGTTGAGGAACAGTAAAAGTAAAGGTTCTGGAAATTTTAACATCTCAAAATGATAACATTTTGCTCATTTTAGAGGGTTGGGAAGTTTAATTTTACCTCTGAAGAACAGTGAAAGTAAACGTTCTGGAAATAAATGTTAAGAATCTCAAAAACATTAGATTTTATACGTTAATGGCCTATTTCCACTGAGTGGTATAATACAGTAGTTTGATACACTTTTATGGCCGTTTCAACTGTCACAAGGTACCAAAAAGTGAACCGTGCCATACCGTACCACTTTTTGGGTACTCTTTCTAAAGGATACCAAGCATAACAAAAGGGTACCAAAAGGCAGAGCTAGATGTGCAGCTAAAAGCTATTGGTTTACAGAGAAGCATCACTAGCTCGTGCACAAGCCATGAGAATGAAAACAAAGGAACCACCATTTTAAAAACACAGCCGAGACATTACACTGTAATAATATATACATATAATAACAAGCCATGGTCATCCCGAACTTAAACAAACCTTGTCGTCGTCTTGATGAACAGCCACAATGCCAAGTAGAACAGAATCAACCCTGTGCCCTATTGTTGTTTACAAGGCCGTCTAAAGCATGAGCGATTTCACTTTCTCCAGAGAGCTCGCTGCATGTCTATATTTAAAATAACTTCTTGAACTGATAATAATAACATGCACATGATTATTGAAGTGCTTCTGACATCTGATCCTTTCAGAAACCGACAAACGCGAGACTGACAAGCCAAAAAAACAAAGGAGAAGCCGGAATAAAACAAAAGAGCAAATGATTCTTTCAGCAACCTAAAACATGAACAAACTGCCATGTTCAAGTATTATCACCACTTTTTGGACTATTATGAACTGACCAAATTACTTTCTAACAAAGGCTACATGTGCTGGTGAAGATTAAAGGCACAGATGAGAGGTTTACTCTGACTGTGGGCTATATGTTGCGTGTTGTTTTTGAACCCAAATAAGGACTAAATGTATGATGTGTGTAGTTTTTCTGTAATTGGTAACATATCGGAGACTGTAAGGGTCTGTATGTGTTCATATATGTTGCATTTATTTATTTATTTCATGTAATTGCTGACGTTATTTTGCAGAGTTATTGATCTGCAGTTATGATCAAATCATATGCGTAGAAAGGTTGGTAATAAACATTTATACAGAAGTATTTATGTGTATAAAGCATCTGTTTTGTGAGAAGTGTTTCTTATATGATATATGAACAACCTGTACAGCTTTACTGTGACATTTCCTCAAGCGAGAATGACGTCAACTGAAACTTTCTGCCGTATACCACACCCACCAAAAAGGTACCATTGGTACCAAAAAGCAAACCATACCGTACCACTTTTTGGGTACTCTTTCGAAAGGGTACCTTTGCTACTCTTTTGGCAGGGGAAATTCAAGCTTGATAAAGGTGACCCATTTCGACCCCTACCGTACCACTAAGTGAAAACGGGCCATTAAAGGGCTTGGGAAAATCATTCCACCTTCAAGGAACAGTGAAAGTGAAAGTTTTTTATTAATAATCTTTTAGAAAAAATTTAGAGGCTGAGAAAATCATTTTACCTCTGATGAACAGTGAAAGTAAAGGTTCTGGAAATAAACAAAAGCCTGATGATCATATTTACATATACATATACGTACCCTATAAACTCACATTTTACCATGATATTTATTTATTTTTTTATTATTATTTTTTTTTTTTAAAATATGTATGGAGTTAACCAAAGTAACTTCAGTCTAATCAGTATTTATCAGTAGGATTTAAAGGATTAAAACAGCAGCCTTAAAAATTGTCTGACTACTGGTTATAAAGAATTGATTAACAATTACAAAGATATAGTTTATTTTTGGGGTTAACATGCATAGATAAATGATATTATTGTGTAATATCATTCTGGGGCCTGTAAGAATTTGCATATTGAAAGTAAACAGTGTTGATTCAATGATGACTTTAGTTAAGAAAAAAACCTTCATCCTCTGCAAAATAAGGTCATACTTTTGAAAGACTCACCCGTACAAAGGCTGTGTACTGATGGCACTGCTGTCGGTGGATCTCCAGGTTGAATCTCTGACTTACAACACCTGTTTGCTCGCCACCGTTTCCAAAATATGCCCGCGGTGGCAGCCCTTTGTGTCTCTTATCCGAATCTGCTGTTAGATTGTACAGCAACTCTGAGAAGGAAAACATGACAGTCACATTTCCGCAAGACAACAGTGTGTAAACATCCCTAAACATGAGCTTTGTTTAAAGACTCACTATCAGAAACATTCCAGGGTGATTTTGGATTTAAAAACAAAGTCAAATAAGACGTCAAGTTCCCACTGTCAAAGTCATGGAAATGAGAGAAAGCAGTACAAGAACATTTCTGGGGCCGCGTCCAAGAGTTTAATGTTTTTGATTAATTTCTGGAAGTCTGAGAAAATGGCAAGGGCATGTAGGAAAAACATGGTTCAAAGAGTACTGATGAATCTTACATCATATTTCAAAGTGATTAAAAAAAGAATAAATGAATGAATATATGAAATAAAATTAAATTAAATAAAAGAGAATAGATGAATAAATACATAAAATAAAATAAAATAAAATAAAAAAGAATAAATAAATGAATACATGAAATAAAATAAAATAAATAAAAAGAATAAATGCATGAATACATAAAAAAAATAATAATAAATAAATAAATAAATAAATAAATAAATAAATAAATAAATAAATAAATAAATAAACATATGGGAAATTATATGGGAAATAATAAATAAATAAATTAATATTTAATAAATAGTAAAATAAAATAAAATAATAAAAATAAAATAAAATGACAAATTTCAGGAACAATATATGGGACATTATTTGGGAAATAAAAATCAAATTAAATTAAATTTTAAAAATGTGTTAAATTAAATTAAATGATTAAAAACTATATGAGACATTAAATGGGAAAATAAATAAATGAATAATAATAAATAAATATAATATAATAAATAGTAAAATAAATAATAAAATAAAATAAAAATAAATAAAAATAAATTAATAAAAAATAAATACATAAATAAAATAATTTAATAAAATAAAACAAAATAAAATAAAATAAAAAATCTAAGGAAGAAATATATGGGACATTATAAGGGAAATAAAATACAATACATAATAAAATAAAATGACAAATCTCAGTTAGAAGTATATAAGACATAGTAAGAAAAAAAAACTTAATAAATAGTAAAATAAATAATAACATTTTTTTTATTTAAATTAAATAATTAATAAATTTAACTAACAGACAAATCTCAGGAAGAAATATATGGGACATATTTGAAAAAAATGAATAGTTAACTTACATTTACATTTAGTCATTTAGCAGACGTTTTTATCCAAAACGACTTACAAATGAAGACAAGGAAGCAATTTACACCACTATAAAAGCAACAATGAATAAGTGCTATAGGCAAGTTTCAGGTATGTAAAGTAAGTTAATAAACAACTAAATGAAAAAATAAAATAAATATAATAAATAAACAAATAAAATAAAATGACAAATTTCAGGTAGAAGTATGTAACAAATTATAAGATAAGTTTATTTAATTAAATTATTAATTTATTTATTAATTAACAGACAAATCTCAGGAAGACATTTATGGGACATATCTGAAAAATAAATGTATTTTTATTTAAATTGTATTTTACTTAAATGTAAAACTATTTAATAAATAATAAAATAAAATAAAATAAAATAAAATAAAATAAAATAAAATAAAATAAAATAAAATAAAATAAAATAAAATAACATAAAATAAAATAAAATAAAATAACAAAATCTTTGGAAGATATATTTGGGACATTATATGGGACAAAAATTACTAATTAATACTTAATAAATAGTAAAATAAATTATTAAATAAAATTTAAAAAATGAAAATAAATGAATAAATTAATTAAAAAATTAATCAAATAAATGACAAATCTCAGGAAGACATATATGGGACATTATATGGGAAGAAATAATAAATAAATAAATACTTAATACACAATAAACTAAACTAAAATAAACTAAATTAAACTAAAATAAATCTCAGGAAAAAATATTTAGGATATTATATGGGAAAATGAATAAATAAATGAATAAATAAATAAATAAATAAATAAATAAATAAATAAATAAATAAATAAATAAATAAATAAATAAATAAATATTAAAAACAAAACCAAGAATTATATGGAACATTTCTACAACAACAACAACAACAACAAAAAAAAAAATAAAATCAATAAACAACTGAATAAACATTAAATAAAATACTACATAATTTATCATTTAAATACAGAACATAAACTAACTGAAATATTATGTCATAGAGTTATGTCCTCCAAAAAACTTGTAAAGTGATTGAATAGCAAGCTTTACTTTGTAGAATATTTCATAATTCCATTCCAATTGATATTTTGCACTTTACAACAATATGATTTTTACACTACAGAAATGAGAACTGATAGAAAATGTTGAAAAAAAAAAACCTTTCAGTGACTAAAAGCCCTAAAAATAAGATTCAGCCTCTCTATCCAAAATATAATGACCTTTTTCCTTTTCGCTTTGGAACAAAACATAATCCAGACATCACATCTCTTGGTGAGATTCATCCATCTACACCTACACGCTTTTCCAAAACCTTAAAAAAAAACTGATCAAAATCACAGCGCTCCTGGACATAGCCCCAGAAATCACTGCTTTCTTTCCACTGCAGGAAGTTGACGAATTTCTTGACAGTTTTTGTGATGGGGTCAAATGTGTAATTGCTCAGATCCTGATGCTGAGTAAGAGCTATTATTAATCTGCTGGTCTCATAGGGTGTCACTGTAATGAGTCTGGGTTCCTGGACCAATGCAGGGGTTTGTTCTTTAATGCATCCAGCTGTGAGAGTTGCATGAGCTCATACCAGTCTACAAAACCAGGGGCGTCACCCAAACATAAGGTGCACAAGGACTTTCCAATGCTGGTGCCAAGCGAAGCTCACACTAGTGCTCTGTGTTTCCCAGAAAACACCCTTTATTCAACACTTTATATACTGCGTCTCATATTAGGCCACACCCACTCTGCAAGCTGCGACCACACCCATTGGTGGAGAAAAGAGTCACTGATTCCCACTTGTTTGCCAATAACATACAGTATGAAAACAATATTAAGTAGAGTTAATGGAAAAAGAGGTTTTATTTGATTTCGCTCAACATTACGTGAGAGCCAAAGGTGAATTCCTGTTTTTGAATCTGATGTTTCAAGACGTTTCATAATATTATACTCTAGGATAATATGTGTGTTGATAGAGTGAAATAAAGTTCAGCACAACAGACACTGACCTCAGTTCAGGGCTGTTTGCTTTATGTGCAATGAGAGAGAAAATACACTAGATTTGAACTGATCATTTGTGTATGGGTGACACCTGTCTCTGGGGACACATTGATGAAACATATGTGTATTTACTCTCTCTGAAAAATAAATAAATAAATAAATAAATAAATACATAAATACATAAATAAATAAATAAATAAATAAATAAATAAATAAATAAATAAATAAATAAATAAATAAATAAATAAAATAAAATTAAATTAAATTAAATTTTAAAATGTAAATAAAATTAATTAAACTAAATTATAAGCCATAAAAAAGTAAAAATTAAATAATAATATAAAATATTAAATAACAGAATAAAATAAAATATAAAGAATGTAATTATATAAATAATATATTAATGATATAAAAACACAATAATAAAATGAAGTAATACATTAGGAAATAAATAATATCAAACAAATAAATTGTATTCAATTAAAAATAAATTACACAATTAAAAAGCATAATAAAGTAAAAGATTAAATCATAAAATAATGAATTAATTAATAGAATAAAATTATATATCAATATACTGTACAATCATATAACATAATGTACATTTATAAAACAAATAAATTTAATTAAAAACTAAACATGATAAAACACATGATAAACACAACATTAAATAAAAACATAAAATATTAAATAACAGAAATATATAACAAATTAAATGATCCAATGATATAAAAACACAATAATAAACCAAAGCAATACAATAATAAATAAAGTAATATAAAATAAAATTATATAAAAAGTAAAAAAGTAATATAAAATAAAATAAAAAAATAACAAAATAAAAACATAATAAAATAAATATTTCAATAATAAAACAAAGTATTAAATAATAGAATATAAATATGCATAAAACACAATAAAAAATTAAAAACAAATCAAATAAAAGCAAACAAATAAAAAATAGATAAAACAAAACAAAATAAAATAAAGTTAAATAAAAACAATACAACACAAAACAAAATAACAAAATCATAATAAAGTAAAAGATTAAATAATAAAATAATTAATTAAATATTAGAATATAAAATATTAAAAATATGATTATATAATAAATAAAATAAAATAAAAAATTTAACACAATAAAACAAATGATAAAGCAAAACATTAAATAGAAAACATTAAATAGAAAACATTAAATAACAGAAAAGTATTAAGTTAAATAACTTAAATGATCCAAGATATAAAAACACAACAATAAAATAAATTAATATATTTATAATAATAATATATAATATAAAATGTTAATAAATTTCCAATAAATAATAAAATAAACACAATTAAAAACATAATAAAGTAAACCATTAAATAATAAAATAAAGTATTAAATAATAGAAAAAATATATAAAACCTAATAAAAATAAAGTTACAAAAAAAAAACAATAAATAAATTAATAAAATAAAAATAAACAAAACAAAACAAACAAATAATTAAAAATACAAAAAATGAACAAAACAAAATAAATAAATGTAAATGAAAAATAAAAACAAAAGCAAACAACACAACAAAAGCTCACTGACACTGACTCACCGATGTGTCCAGGAACATGTTTTCCTCTGAAGCTCATGCAGACGGTGACGTTGAAGCAGTTGAGATGCTGAGGGCCCTCGTGACACTGCGGGACTGTGATGTTTATAGAGACGGGCAGAAAGATGGACACATCCACAGAGATCACTGGCCTCGACCTGACGTAAACAACAGCAAAAACATTCAAGCTACACACTAATGCACAGTTATCAGAAAATGCTATGGACTTAAACAAAGACTTACCTTAACAAGACCACACTGTCAGCCATGAATGCACCGATCGTCACATCTGATATGAGGTAAAAACAAACAAAATTAATGGTTTTCTGGAAGCATGAAGCTTGAAATCTTATGATGCCACACTGTTAGAAAAAAAATGTGCAAAAATGTAAACCTTTAATCCTAAACTAATGTTAAAGTGCAAATACTGTGTTCACTTACTAGAACAAATAAAGGCTAAACAAATTATAAGATGTTTTGACCTGTGAATTTATAATTAAAATTATAACTATTACAACAATAATCGGGCGACACGGTGGCTCAGCGGTTAGCACTGTCACCTCACAGCAAGAAGGTTGCTGGGACAGTTGTCTCTTCAGTGTGGAGTTTGTATGTTCTCCCGGTGTTGCCATGGGTTTTCTCCGAGCGCTCCGGTTTCCCCCACAGTCCAAACATATGCGCTATATGTGAAGTGAATAAGCTAAATTGGCCGTAGTGTATGTGTGTGAATGAGTGTGTATGGGTGTTTCCCAGTACTGGGTTGCGACTAGAAGGGCATCCTCTGTGTAAAACATGTGCTGGTTAAGTTGGCTGTTCATTTAGCTGTGGCGACCCCAGATTAATAAAGGGACTAAGCTAAAAAGAAAATGAATGAATGAATGAATGAATGTATGAATGAATATAGCTTAAAGGGGCTTATAATATTGACCTTAAAATGGCTTTTAAAAATTTTGAAACTGCTTTTATTTTAGCCGAAATAAAACAAATCAGTCTTTCTCCAGAAGAAAAAATATTATCAGACATACTGTAAAAATGTCCTTGCTCTGTTAAACATCATTTGGGAAAAAAAATAAATAAAAAAATTAAATTAGGGGCGAATAATTCTGACTTCAACTGTATAAACAAGAATAATAAAGCATTTGATATTCGCTCTTTGAGTAATTTCTCATTACTTTAAGTAATGGGAGCGTCGGCTCTGGAATTCTGTAAACAAAATGCTTGCCGGCCACAGCAATATGAGTTTGAAAAAGACCGAATGTGTCAATAAATGCCTAAGAAAATTAAGAAAGCATTCCTCGCATTAGCACAGCATGAAACATCTCCATCATACACAGTATAAATATCTGTTAATTAACAGTTCCCGTTTTTTATGATTTAGAAGTGTTTTCTGTTTATTTACCGTTGTGAATTGCATTATGGGATGTTGATCTCTACTCTGTTTAACTGTAGAGTTGAATTTTCAACATCAAAACTGGACATTTACTGACATTTTAGTAAACTGAAATAATATAATGTGCAAGACATAATAGAGAAGTCATTTTATTGCAAGGTTTTTATAGCATGATATACAACACCAGCCCAGACATGATATCATTTTAAACTAATAAAAATGTTAATAAAAGTCACCTTTTCAAAGTTTTCTGGTGTAAAAGTTGTTGGAAGAAAGATCAAGATCCCATAATGCACCTTAAAAGCATAAATAAATCCAGAAAACTGCTAATTTACGAATATCTTTTACAGAAGATGAGTGTTTCTGCAGTTTTTACATGACCTTCAGACAATCACGTTACGATGAATCCCTCAAGTCACTTACATGCCGAAGAAGTTTCTAAATCTAAAATGAAGAAGTTGCTAAAAACCTGACATGTTTTACAAAGAGATCGCAGAAAGCCCAATGTAAGTGGTCTGACAGCCATTGCGGTTTCTCACTAAATGTGGTCAGGTTTGATCTAGTTAATTCGGAAACATTCTCAGTGCTCATTGGAGTGCAACTAGCCAAGCGTCTTAAGTCAAGCCAAACCTGGATATCCGTTTCCATCCATGTCCACATTGCCGGATATTGACTGGCCGAACATTTGGAGGGTGGGGTTGATGCTCCGTCCAGACAATCTCTGCATATGATCAGGGTGAGGGAGAAAAATCACATCAATCATCCACACAGTTCAACACTTCCACATCCTATTAAATATTTTCACTAATTTGATAATGTTCGTGTGCAGCCATCTCTTGGCTTCATTTAAGGCATTTCCTCAACAAAGAGAAGCATGGAAAATGCCAAAGAAGATTTAATCTGGACCTACTAGTTACTAAACGTTCAATCAATCTGTTCTAACTGATGAGCTAGAAGGTATCTCTGATAAACAAGTGATGCATTGCCAATTAAAACAGTCTATTAAATAGAAAAGGGAGAAACAAATGAAGACTATTGGTCTGCAGCATAGAGTACTAGTGAAGGGTAGTAATAAAATAAGAAAGCATAACAATCAATTAAACAAAATCCAAATAAAACATTCAATAAAATGTAAAAATCAAACAAAAATCCGATTAAAATCTGATTCATTGGATTTACTAGATTTTTTAAGGTAAGTGGTTGCAAACAATTTATATGGGCAGAATTTAAACAAACACATTAAGCTGAAAATTACTAAATTTATTTGTTTGTATTCAGCCCATATAAATTGTTTGCAACCACTTATTTTGTAAATCCAATGAATTCTTTTTTTTTTGTGTGTAAATCTAAAAGAAATAAAAGTATTGGAAATGTTAATAATTAGGGATGCCCAAATATCTGATTCTGAGATAGTAAAATTAAAAAAATTCAGAATGCACTTTGACAAAAAAACGAAACTAAAATCATTTGGTCGGTGCAGCAACAAGCTATTGAAATGTATGGGTTTTCAGCGCATCACTTTTCAGGTCTGGTGTGAAAGCTGCTTAGAGTCATACAGTGATTATGGCTGAAAAGAGAGTAAAACCAGCACAATGACCACTGCTGGGTTGTGTGGCGCAGGATGTAAGTTTTTTGGCTCATATTTTTCTTTGCTTTTGTCTCTTTTTTATTATAAAATGCAAATAAAATAAAATAAAATAAAATAAAATAAAATAAAATAAAATAAAATAAAATAAAATAAAATAAAATTAAATTAAATTAAATTAAATTAAATTAAATTAAAACAAGCTATTGACCAACTAACTTTTGCATTATTTAAATAACAAATAAAATAAAATAAAATTTTATTAAATTAGATTAAATAATCAAAACTAAACAATACAAGCAGTTGACCAAATAACTTTTGCAAAATGTGGTTGGTTACCATCGAGTACTTGTTAACTATTCCTCTGGCATCTCCATGGTAGATGTAAACAGCTCCCCCATAGTCATCCTCTTCAGGAGCTCCAATTGCCACATCTGAGGTACAAAAGCCAAGGATAAAAGGATAAAGGATTCCAACATCAGAGAAAGTTTAAAACCTTTCTTTTGTTGTGTCTCAATCTGTGTCATTGACTAATAAAGTCTTAGTTGATGTGTCATTGAACTTACAAAAAATACAGTCACTCTTGGCTTTTATTCAGGATGTTATTAGAGTCATTGTGTACAGTCTGGCAAGTAACAATCATAAAAATATAGAAATGAATAGAATAGTGTGCACCCGGCTTAAAAGAGACTGCTAAAGAGCTACGCCTGGAACAGAAACACAGGGGGTGGATTTGTGTGTGTCAGGACCCCAATAAATGCCTGTTTGCTTTAGGCCCATCTCTGTTTGAGCAATGCTCTGTTAAGTCACTTAATGCACGCGTAGGTGTTTTTCAGAGCTCTGTGAAACTTCATGGGGTTCAAACTGCGTCGTAAAAAAGCCCTTGTGCCATGCACAACAGCAGTACACAGTTCGGAAAATTCATAGGCTACTAAAATTGCATAAAACTCTGTACATGCTGAATCTGAAGCACTATTTATTAACATCTATGTCATCTGAGATACTTTACTGACTTATTTACACTTAAAGGTCTAAACTAAAAAAAAAAAAAAAACATACAGTTGATATCAAAATTATTAGCCCCCCTGAATTATCTGCCCCCCCTGTTTATTTTTCCCCCATATCTGTTTAATGGAGAGAAGATTTTTAACACATCTCTAAACATCATAGTTTTAATAACTCATTTCTAATAACTGATTTATTTAATCTTTGCCATGATGACAGTAAATAATATTTGACTAGATATTTTACAAGACACATCTATACAGCTTAAAGTGACATTTAAAGGCTTAACTAGGTTAACTAGGTAAGAGTAATTGGGCAAGTTATTGTATAATGATGATTTGTTTTAAAGAGAAGAAAGTTAGCTTAAAGGGGCTTATAATTTTGTCCTTTAAAATAGTGTTTAAAAAATTAAAAACTGCAAACAAATAAGACTTTTCCCAGAAGAAAAAATATTATCAGACATACTGTGAAAATGTCCTTGCTCTGTTAAACATAGTTTGGGAAATATTTAAAAAATAAAAAATAAATCAAAAAATCTAAATCTGACTTCAACTGTATATAAATATATATATATATATATATATATATATATATATATATATATATATATATATATATATATATATATATATATATATATATATATATATATATATATATTAGATGTTAGTATCAGCATGTTAGTTCTAAGGATAAGCTAGTGTGCTACAAGACAGTGACAATATCCAGGTTTAGAACATATAAACCTGATATAAACATCCAAAGCTTGCAGTTTGTCACTTCCGCCAAAATGAATCAATGATTTTTTTTGACGTCACCTCATACGTCAGTTTCTGATCAAATGTTCTGAACAATCAAACACTACACTCCCAGAAATGAAGGCGAGCTGTCACTGGGGTGGCACCTTTTCAAAAGGTACAAATTTGTAACTAAAAGTTCCATATTAATATCTGAAGGGTACATATTAGTACCTAAAAAGTACAAAAAACGTTCCTCTTAATTTTTTTTAGGTACTAATATATACTTTGCTGTACCAATATAGAACCTTTAAGTACAAATTTTTCCTTTTTGAAAAGGTACCTGCAAGCCTCCAGTTCACAAGCTGATATACATTTATACCCAATAAGGAGCAGGTCAAATGGAGTCAGGTTAACCTTGTGTAATGTCTTTATGGTTACAGCCTCCTAAAGGACAGTTTACTGCCACGCTGAGCCGTAAACAGATGCATCTCAATACACACGAGAACTCATACAGCATATTTGATTGTTTAAACGAGTCTCGTGTTCAGAAGTCTCCGTCCTACACCGGAAAGATTCCCTTCCTGTTTAACCCGACACATCTGTCTCCACTTATCAGATATTCCTCAGGCCTTTTTAATTAGCTCTTATTTCTTACAGTCTCTTACATCCACAATGATGCATGTGTTTGATCTGTTTATTATGGGATGGTCAGTGTCTAGAAACACTCAGTATGGGTATGAGGACGGCTGATTCATTCAAGCATCACCAAAACACTTCACATATACTGTTAAACATACATTTGAAGTCAGACTTATTAGCCCTCCTGAATTATTATGCCTCGTTTATATATTTATTCTACAATTTCTGTTTAACAGAAAGAAGATTTCTTTTAGCACATTTCTAAACATAGTAGCTTCAATAATTCATTTCTAATAACTGATTTATTTTATCTTTGCCATGATGACAGTAAATAATATTTTACTAGATATTACTAGCATTCAGCTGAAAGTGATATTTAAAGGCGTAACTAGATTAATTAGGCAGGTTAGGGTAATTAGGCAAGTCATTGTATAACAGTGGTTGGTTCTGTAGACTCTCAGAAAAAAAAAAGGTACACGGTAGTACAAATATTGTTTCGTAAGGAACCATTTGAAATCAATGCCAGGTTAAACCTACTTAAATTGTACAGCGTTATTACTACATATTTAAGCATTTACAGTTGTTTTGAAAGGTTTGAGGTGTATTTAAATGCACTACTAATGGCGGCATGGTGGCTCAGTGGTTAGCACTGTCGCCTCACAGCAAGAAGATTATTGGTTCGAGTGCCGGCTGGACCAGTTGGCATTTCCGTGTGAAGGTTGCATGTTCTCACCCTGGGTTTCCTCCGGGTGCTCCGGTTTCCCACAGTCTAAAAACATGCGCTATAGGTAAAAAAAAAAAAAAAAACTAAATTGGCCGTAGTGTTATGAGTATGTGTGAATGAGTGTATGGGTGTTTCCCAGTTCTGGGGTGCAGCTAAAAGGGCATTCGCTGTGAAAAACATATGCCAGAATAGTTGGTGGTTCATTCCACTCTGGCGACCCCTGATAAATAAGGGACTAAGCCAAAGGAAAATGAATGAATGAATGAATGAATGAATGAATGAATGAATGAATGAATGAATGAATGAATGAATGAATGAAAAGCCCCTTTCACACAGTGATACCGGTATATATCTGGAAAATTTCTGGAACGACTTTACCGGTATATTCAAAAAAGCGCTGTTCACACAGGCGAGGACGTTACGGAAATTTTCCGGAAAAGAGCATTCACACATCCACTCCAAAATAGCGGTAAATTCTGACATCATTCACCACAAATGAGCTTTAAACGGCTGCGCTTGTATTAGTAAACATTTGACTAAATTACAAACTCTGTGGCTGATCAATATTGTGAACAACTTTCGCAGGATCACTTTCTCATGTCGAGATGTTCATAATATGTGCGTGTGCAGGCGCTCACAGGCTGTTTCACAGGCACACGCAAAGCTTGAAGGTAAACAAACAACGGCTTATCATAAGCATCTCATCGATGATTATTTACACAGTTGGCATAAAGAAGAACATATAAACGTGATCTGACTAACTTCTAGCAGCTAAATGTGTCTGGAAAAATATTCAAAGGCTTTTATTCTCACAAACCGCGCGGACGTAAATGCGTCTGACTGTTGTGATTGGCTAAAGCAGACGTCTCACGTCAGCACGTTCTAGACGTGCACGCGCTTATTACGGCAATCTTTCTTCTGCATTCACACAGCGCAGCATTCCGGCAAATTGCCGGTAATGTTACAACTTCTCTTTCCGGAAAATAGCCAGAACGAATTTACCGGTATTTTCAAAAAGGACCTGTTCACACATACAACCTTTCCGGAAAATTGCCGGCAATTTTCCGGAAAGGTCTGTATGTGTGAAAGGGGCTAATGTTGCACTACTAGTGTTCAACCTTAAAATACCTCTTTTCTACAACATTGTTCTGTCTCATGTAAAAGTACTTGTATAGTCTGTCTTAGGTTTTGTGTATAGTGAAGTATGTATATGCATAGATGATATAGTTAGATTATCGCTCCATAATGTTAGTTGTGAATAGATTTAAAATAGCTCTTAAGTCCAGTGTTGTGTTCATATTTCTGATTATGTCTATTTATATAGCACTGTGGTCCTGAGAGACATGACATCTTGTTCTGCTGTATGTCCACACATGTAGTGGATGGCAATAAAGCTTGACTTGATCTTTGCGTAAACAAATAATTTTCATAGCAGTATTCTTTGTTAATTAGAAAGGTCATTTGTGATATTATGTATGACTTAACTGTAACGTTTGGTCAATTTAATGCATTCTAACTGAGAATCTTGCAGACTTGCTATAAAATTCCATGCAGAAAATTAATTTATGCTAAATGATTGTAATTGTGCCTTGTGTCATCATCTTAAGTGCAAACTGGCGTCATACACTGACCTTGATAGCCATCGTCATCGATGTCCCCGAGAGACGTGATGCACTCTCCAAAATGAGCGTTATATGCATTATCACCATTCAGTATCGCAACTTCCTCCATTACTCCCTGAACAAACAGGAGCACAAACACATAGGATTTGATCGCAAAGTCTGACAGGATGCATGAAAACAGCACAAAACTAAGACTGAGATTAGGAAAAGTTGGAGGCATTAACTTTTTGTTTATGATAAAAACTGACATCATTAGGGATAGCCCCCCCCCCCCCCCCCCCCCCCCCCCCCAAAAAAAAATACTGTTCTGCCATTATTTACTCACCCTTGACTTGCTCTAAACTAGATACATTTTTGTTCTGTTAAGCACAAAATGAGATATTCTGAAGATTGTTCAAAACCTGTAAACATTGACATTCATAGTTAAAAAACATTTAAAAAAAACACTATGGAAGTCAATGGTTACCGTGTGCAACATTTTTCCAAATATCTTCTTTTGAGCTTGACAAAACAAAACAAAAAAATCTACTGTTACCAGTCAATGGTTAATTGTTTTGTTGAGCACAAAAGAAGATATTATGAAGATTGTTCAAAAGCTGTAACCATTGACATCCATAGTAAGCTAAACAAATACCATGGAAGTCAATAGTTACTAGTTTTCAACATTCTTTTTAAAAATCTTCTTATGTGCTCAACAGAACAAAAAAAATCTATTGTTACTAGCCAACGGTTACTTATAAAGAATGTTTAAAACCTGTAAATATTGACATAATAGTAAAAAATAAATAAATAAATAAATAAAAAATTATTGTGAAAGTCAGTGGTTACCGGTGTACAGCATTTTTAAAAATATTTAAAAACACACACACACGCACGCACGCACTCACACACACACACACACATATATATATATATATATATATATATATATATATATGTTGTTACTAGAATGTTCGAAACCTGTAACCGATGTGCTGCATTCTTCTAAATATCTTCTTTTGTGCTTTTATTACTAGTCAATAGTTACTTGTTCTGTTGAGCACAAAAGAAGATATTCTGGAAAATATTCGAAACCTGTAATCATTGACATTCATAGTAAAAAAAAAAAAAAAAAAAAAAAAAACTATGGAAGTAAATGGTGACCAGTGTTTTTACAAATATCCTAATTAGAGCTCAACAGAACAAAAGCAATCTTTTTTTACTAGTCAATGGTTACTTGTTCTGTTGAGCATTAAAGAAAATATTCTGAAGTACCACAGCTGTATGCTGAACTCACGTTGCCACTGCTGAGGTAAACAGAAACCTGGCCTTCGTCCCGGATCTCGCTGTGCATTGGTGCTCCCACCAGCAAGTCCGACAGTCCGTCCGCGTTCAGGTCAACTGCACACAATGAGGAGCCAAAGTAAGAGCCCATCTGAAACCAAGCCGAGCCAAGAGCAAACGGTCAGATTACATCACTCCTCCATAAGATGCATTATCATAGAGTTCCCTTTAGAGAAAGTCAAGCTCTGATTTAGCTACATGCCCTGCTCCAACATACATGAACATGTACGATGAATGAGACCAGAGAGCTGGTTTTCTGCTTAAAACCTACATTTGTGTCTATTTTTATACAATTATTGTTAAAAAAATTTGGTCCCATTTCATATTAGGTGGCCTTAACTACTATGTACTTCAATTAAAATGTAAATACTATGTGCTTAATGTGTTGATAATGTATTGCAGAACACTTCTGGTGCTCTTGAGGATGTATACAGGTATGGTTTGTCACTATGGGTAGTTAAAGGGTGGATTAATGTATAAGATATGGTCAATAGTGTAATTTTAAATGAACCTACTGAAATTAATTAGAGATGCAATTGCATTAATTAACTATAAGTACAATGTAAACACATGTATTTACTAGAAAAGCACATCACACTATTTTCTGGCTAAGTACATATTAGTTAAGGCCACTTTATATAAAATAGGAGCAAAAATGTTCTTTATTCTTGAGATTTTTACTAAACATACAATACACAATTTTTATTGAGTATCATATTAATACACCAGGCTTTAATGGCATATGATTTAGTGGAAAAAGAGAGCAATGAACTGCTTTTTCTATTCAATAGAGATATGCATTTGGTTCAAATGTATATACAGTCAAAAAATGTAAGAAGAAATTTTTTGAAATACGCTTGAGGATGAAATGTGACATCTAATAATATTACACTCTAAAAAACATGGGGCTATTTTATCTACCGAAATCTTGAGTTGAGGCATTTGAGTAATTTTTGGGGGGTTATTTTCAGAGTCTTTGGTAGTTTCAACCCAGCTCTTTGGGTCAAATCAACTCACAGCAAGGTCTGACTGGGACACCACATATTATGTGCTAATTTGTTTTAATGCAATGAAAATAGTGTAACATAAACGCAGATTCCTTGCATTTTCAGATGTTTAAAATGAGATTGATGCTCAGAGCAGCCCTTAGTCCAACCTTTCTGAATTAAAAAATTTCTTACTACCATTGTTTGTACACCTGTAATGACAGCTGCACATCCCCCACTGTACTTCAGTGACGCTGAGTCAAAACAACACAATCGTTGGGTCCTCTTTCGTAGATGTCATCTACTAGTCCAGTTTTCTCACGTGTGAGTTTTAAGTGCGACTCCGCTGCTAAGTGCACGTTTCACCCATGACCTGACGCGGGGGGCCAGAGCTTTATTGCTTTAATTTCACAATTTTCATAATTTAGTTGCTATTTCATAATATAAAATATCTAACTTTGTGTTCTGAATGTTGGAAATGGGAGTGTTAATAATTAATGACGGAAAGAATTTTCAGTTTTGAGTGAACAATCTTTTATGAAAGGGGGGGGGGGGGGTATTTCTTCTTAAGCGCTGGGCCTTGATCTCTTAAGGACCGCCAGTCACTACATGCATTCATGTAAATACTGTATCTATGTCTGTGCTTCTTCAATCAATTATGATTTATTTACCAACACTTTAAACAAAATAAAACTAAACATACACTCAAAACTGCTGCTAGTTCAGACTACCTGTGTAAAATGAGCTAAAGCAACGCAATTCTTGACTCTTTTTTGTGACAACTTAATTGTTTTATGTTCAATTTAGTTAAATGTGTTATGTTAACTTAATCGATTTGTGTTGGAACAAGCTGAATGAGTCGTGTGGAATGTGTTAACACTTTATTTTGATTGCACATTTTGTAGACTAAGGGCCTACTCACACTATGCCATCCGTACCGTGCCCAGGCCCGTTTCCCGGATCGTTTGAGAAGTGTGAGTGCGCTGAATCGGGCTCAAGCACAGTTCACTTGGCCGGCCCTGGCCCGGTTGGAAGAGGTGTGCCTGAGCGCGGTTCACTTGGGCTTTGGCACGGTACGCTTGTGTGTGAGTGCAAAACGCGTCAAAGCCCGAAACTTAGGGCCTACTCACACTATGCCATCCGTACTGTGCCCAGGCCCGTTTCCCGGATCGTTTGAGAAGTGTGAGTGCGCTGAATCGGGCTCAAGCACGGTTCACTTGGCCGGCCCTGGCCCGGTTGGAAGAGGTGTGCCTGAGCGCGGATCACTTGGGCTTTGGCGCGGTACACTTGTGTGTGAGTGCAAAACGCGCCAAAGCCCGAAACTGAAGGCGAAACGTGACTTTTAAGGTTTCTTTTAAGGCTTTTTTTGTTTCATATGGATTTATTAATCATTCTTACTGTTCAGTGAACGCAAACTGCCGTAGTTTATTAAAGATGAGAACTCCTCACAGCACGACAGCTGCGCGCCTTCAGCAGACCTCCTCATTCCTGCAGCACGAGAGCTTTATGATTGTTTATGAGCGCCAAAAGTGGCGGATCTGTCCGATGAAATATCTGACTGCGTGTCACCGCATCCCTAAGGACTGTTTGGCGAAATATTTGACTGCATGTCACTGCATATCAAACGACTGAAACGATATAAGTAGAGAAATCTCCACTGTGCTACTGGGTGAGAGCGTATGGCAAGCCGTTTTAGCATTTAAACCTTGTTCTGACTATCCATAAATATATTTAGAGAGATCTAATTATATTTTGACTAGTCATAATTATAATTCGACTAGTCAGATTGGAGATATCTGCAAATATATTATGACTGACTAGTCATATTCCTCCATTGACTTCCATTGAAAAATATTTGCAAATATCTCTAAATGAGTTTTGATTAGTCACAATTGTAATTAGAGATATCTCCAAATGAATTTTGACTAGTCAAAAATCCAATTCAAGATATCTACAACTGTAATTCGTCTATTAGTAAATTAATTAGAGATATCTTCAAATATATTTGTAAATATCTCTAAATATGACGAATTAAAGATATCTCCAAATGTATTATGACTAGTAAAAACTCAGTTGGAGATATCTCTAATTACAATTGTGACTAATCAAAACTCATTTAGAGATATCTGCAAATATTTTTCAATGGAAGTCAATGGAAGAATATGACTTGTCATAATATATTTGCAGATATCTCCAATCTGATTTCGTACTAGTACAATTGTAATTGCAGATATCTCTAAATGTCATTCTGAGTAGCGGAATTATAAGTATGACTAGTCAAAATATAACAAGAGATATCTCTAAATATATTTATGGAGTCAGAACAAAGATTTAAATGCTGAAAAGGCTTGCCATAGAGAGCGTTTCTCACTGAAAAGAGCAGCAGCGATGACGTAAGCGTGCCGAGGCCCGACATGGTGTGAGCGCGGGCCGTCGAGGGAGACGGGAGGGGGGACAAGCGTGCTTTGGCCCGGTTCGAGGCAACTGTACCTAGTGTGAGTACGGCCTTAAAGCGAGACGTGACATTTAAGGGACTGTTTCATATGGATTTATTAATCATTCTTACTGTTCAGTGAACGCAAACTGCCGTAGTTTATTAAAGACGAGAACTCCTCACAGCACGACAGCTGCGCGCCTTCAGCAGACCTCCTCATTCCTGCAGCACGAGAGCTTTATGATTGTTTATGAGCGGCATAAGTAGCGGATCTGTTCGGCGAAATATCTGACAGCGTGTCACCGCATCCCTAAGGACTGTTTGGCGACATATTTAACTGCATGTCACTGCATATCAAACGACTGAAACGATATAACTAGAGAAATCTCCACTGTACTTCTCAGTGAGAGAGTGCTTCTCACTGAACAGTACAGCAGAGATGATGTAAGCGTGCCGAGGCCCGTTTGTGGTGTGAGTGCGGGCCGTCGGGGGAGACGGGAGGGGGGACAAGCATGCTTTGGCCCAGTTCGAGGCAACTGTACCTAGTGTGAGTACGGCCTAAGGGTGCTTTCACACCTAGACTTTCGTTTCAGAAAAAGTTTGTTTGTGAAAGCGAACCGCACCAAGAACAAAGAGCAAAAATGTAAAAAATTTGTTTCGGAACAAATGAATCGATTCACAGGTGTGAAAGCACCCTAAAAGTTGCATTGCAACTACATGCCAATTACTTCTCAACTGAGTATTAGTAGACTGTCTGCTTAATATCTGCTGATACTGCTCCTTCAACATTTACTTGACTATAATAACTTTGCAAGTGCATGTCAACTTACACTAACCCTAATCTAACAGTCTACTTACAATCTAATGAGAATTAGTTGGCATGTAGATGCATTGTAACTTAAATTCAACAAAATCCGGGGACCATCAAAATAAGGTGATCCCTGGAACCCTGCAGTTTTTATAGTGAACTCACCATTTTCCCTGAGGCTTGAAAGATCTTCACAAGAGCAGTTCCTTCAATTCTGAAGACGTAGACCTAAAACATGAATAACAATATAGCTTAATGTTATAAACAAATCCACTGATCCAATTTCTGCAAAGCCACTCACCTTTCCTCCGCCACTGTCTTGAGGAGCTCCAGCCGCCACGTCTATTGTGTTCGGGGAAGAAAAGTGTCCTGCAGTCACGGCATAACCTAAAAAACCCAGAAATCTGTGACAGACTGACTGCAGCACAAAGCATTGAAGCAGTTGTTAATATCAGAGCAGGTTTTACCGAGGTAACTGTATCTGTGTGGGCTCAGGTCGTCTTGATTAAGGTTGTAGTGAGTATTGGATGTCATGTTAAACACTTTGACCGTTCCGGTCCAGTAGTAAGAACCAGGTGCACCCATAACAACCAGCTCCTATAGAAAACAACACCAAAATTACATGAGATTGGCCGTCAACTTTCTGAAAAAAACTGCAGAACATTTTATTACTGCTGAAAAAGTGACATTTGAAGCTAGAGGAGAAAAACACAGGGCTGTTGGCGAGGCTCTGGTCAACCAAAAGCCACAAACGATGTTGTATTATCTGCTGGTAACCCAAGCGTGAGCTGGAAGAGCGGCTGTTGTTCTCCAGCTTTGATCACTCAATGGAGACTTAAGCTGAAGGAGAACTCAAGCCTTTGAACTGGTTTAATTGCTCCACAACGTCACTCTTCAAATAAGACGAGTCGTTCTGCTTTATATGAGGGCCAGCACTGAGCACAACACAAGGCTGAGGAGCAAAAATCTCAAATTCTCTATAGCGTAATATTTGATGTGAAATTGTAAACATTTTTCTGAAGAGATATGCAATGTAAACTTGTTAATTACTGTAATGACATACTTGATTTGAACAGTTCAATTTAAAAAAATTAAAGAAATAAAAATATTCTATTAATACTGTACTTTCCAAGAAATATGATTATTTTGACCAGTGGTAAATTCGATTAATGAAAAAATATAACATCATAAAACATAAAGCAACAAATATTTTCATTGACAAAATTAACACAGATTTTTGCACAAAAAAATGTGTTTTAAATATAATTTACAAATTATAAAAATAAATATAAAATAATAAATATATATATTTTAAAAAATAAATAAAAATAATTAAATCTGTTTTTTCCAGTTACTGAATCAAATAAACTTTTTTTTATCATAGGTGTCATTTTTATAACGAGTCAGCAATCTTACTTAGTTTATATTGCCTTTTTATTAAAGTCTTTAAACTGTATTAATTGCTCCACAATGTCTTCAAATAGGTGTTTTTTCTTTGAGGGCCAGCACTGAACACAACACAAGGCTGAGGAGCAAAAATCTCAACTTCTCTATAGCGTAATATTTGATGTGAAATTGTAAACATTTTTCTGAAGAGATATGCAATGTAAACTTGTTAATTACTGTAATGACATACTTGAGTTGAACAGTTCAATTTCAAAAATTAAAGAAATAAAAATATTCTATTAATACATTCCAAGAAATATGATTATTTTGACCAGTGGTAAATTCATTTAATAATAAATTAATAAACATAAGGCAACAAATATTTTCATTGACAAAATTAACACAGATTTTTGCACAAAAAACAGTGTTTTAAATACAATTTACAAATTATAAAAATAAATATAAAATACAAAATTATTATTTTTTTAATAAATAAAATAATTAAATCTGTTTTTTCCAGTTATTGAATCAAATAAACATTTTTTTTTTAAATCATGGGTGTCATTTTTATAACGAGTCAGCAATCTTACTTAGTTTATATTGCCTTTTTATTAAAGTCTTTAAACTGTATTAATTGCTCCACAATGTCTTCAAATAAGTGTTTTTTCTTTGATGGCTATCACTGAGCACAACACATGGCTGAAGACCAGAAATCTCAAATTCTCTTTAGAGAAATGTATTTCATGTGAAATTGTATACATGTTTCTGAACAGATGTGCAATGTAAACGTGTTAATTAATGACTTGCTTAATTTGAACAGTTAAATTTCTTAAATGAAACCATTACAAATTTCTGGATTGTTTTCTATTGATATATATCTATAAATATGTTTATTTTGACCAGTGGTAAATTCATTTAATGAATGAATTAATTTTAAAGCAATGAATATGTTTTGTCCTTAATTTCATTGACAAAGTCAACACTGG